GGCCCAGAAATCAGGATTTTAAAAAGATTCCCAGGCGATTCTAATGTGCAGCCAAGGTTGAGAACCACTGTCCTAGACAAGTCAAATAATACTTACAGTTGAAGTAACCCACGCAGCCAGTTAACCGGAATCGGAACCGTTTAAATTCTGTGACTTTTCACACCAACCCACATCCAAGTCGACAATGAGAGTTCCACAGGGGTCCTGAGACCTGAGCGCCTCCAAGGACACACTGCTTCCTACTGGCAACGCCCAACACCAACCGGGGGCGTTCGATAAAGAACTCGAGTGTGTTCTTACAAACAGCCAGCACATCCACTTACATGCTGGGAATGCTGCTCCTTAAAATGAGATTCAGAGATTATAAGTAAAATCTTTCTTCACTCAAACACATGTAGCATCTGAGCATCTAAGCAAACATGTCACAAAATCCCTCTTAGTTAATAGCAAATTATGATAAAAAAAAAACATCGAGAAGAGATTGGCTGGATAGACTTTCACTACGTTATTTTTGCAACTAGGCCTGCAGACTTCATTGTTTAGAAAGATATGTACAGAATGGGGACATGGAAGAGAAGGTGACCCAATCTTCTCCTGGCTCTATCCACTGTACTACACAGTTACAACCGAGGACGCTCAGACATGCGGCACTTGGACACACACAGCTATGTTTACAAGTTAGAGGTGAATATGTTCCCAAAGCTGAAGGGCCCTGGGGCTCATCTAGCCCAATGCATTTTATTATTATTATTATTATTATTATTATTATTATTACTTTTGTTAATCCTCACCAGAGGATAGTTTTCCATTGATATTTAGAGAGAATGGAAGGGAGGGGGAGAGATAGAGAGAGAAACATCAATGTGAGAGAGGCACATTGGGATCGAACATGCAACCAAGGTATGTGCCGTTGGCCAGAATGAAATCTGGGGCCCTTCAGTCTGCGGGCTGATGCACTATCCATTGAGCCAAACCAGGGAGGGCCCAGTGCTTGCATTTTACAAGTGGGGAAATGTGATAGAGTGGCAGTAGCACTGGTGGTGGAGCTGGAGACCTGAGTTTTAGTTCTGATTCTTCCACCAATTAGCATTGGAGCTGGAGTGACCCCGAGTCCCACTGGGATGTAACAAAGAAAGATCATGTCACAGTGGGAATTGTGGCTACAGACCACCCTGGCTTTTTCTGCTCATCTCTATTCTGGATCCAGCTCCAGCTCTTGACTTGTCTGAACATCCTAGCAATTGTACAAAATTACAATTTTTTCTTCAGGATCCATTTTAAAGAAAAGCCCAAGATACAACTAGGGTCATTACGGCCCCAAGAGAAGATTCCTGTATTAAAACCAGGCTGGCGGCTAGCACTCCTCTTCACATGAACTATATTTAAAGCACCGAAGGCCATCATTTTCCTTCAGCATGACCGCAGGGTGAGTTCTCCCAGGGAGCACCGGCCTCCACTGGTGTTCCTTTCAAAGATGGCACCTCGTATTACACACTTCGTTTGATACATCTATGCGCTTCCTTTCTAATAAGAAACTTTGTGGGTATTTTTTCCCCCTGACCTTCATCTCAATCATCTTTTTCAATCTACTTTCCTGGTACGGCCTGCAGTCCCATCATAAACCCTCAGCAGCCAGATCCCAGCACAACTCGGCTGCTGGCGGCAGTGTTGTCATGGCAACATCTGTCAGCATTAGCTCCAGACTTTCTTTAAAAATTAAAGTCTGCCGCAGAAATGCCACGGTTAATGAATTTTTGGTTATTCTGGCCTTTAAGGTCATGGAAGAACATCTAATAGCAATGCATATTAAAACATTAACCTTTTAGTTGGAGATTTATTTGCAAAGTGTGTGGGAGAAGTGTGTGGGATGAGCGGATTTGCTTTTTGAAGCAAAGGTAAATGTTGTGTACTGCAAACTCAGGGGACCGAGCAAGTACTGGTTGATGAAGTAGCCATTAAGAACAACCTCAGCCCTAGCTGGTTTGGCTCAGTGGATAGAGCGTTAGCCTGCGGACTCAAGGGTCCCAGGTTCGATTCCAGTCAAGGGCATGGACCTTAGTTGCGGGCACATCACCAGTAGGGGGTGTGCAAGAGGCAGCTGATCGATGTTTCTCTCTCATCAATGTTTCTAACTCTCTATCCTTCTCCCTTTCTCTCTGTAAAAAATCAATAAAATATATTTTTAAAAAAAGAACAACCTCAATGGGGGAGGGGGTCATTACTTATAGAATGTGGAACCATCTGGAGGAGCAGCAAGTGTTGGTTTTTAAAATGCATCTTGCAGATACACTGGTAACATGTTTGTGTAGGACCAACTAAAGGCAATGTCAGCCGTTGGGGGAATAAAACAACAAACACAAATGTAATAACTAAACTTTTCTTGAAAGCCCCTGGTTTCTTTGTGCACCACTGCTAACATTTCCTGTGTTTGAAATTACATTGGCCTCTTTCAAAAAAAACACACACACCACAAACTTCACCTTACATAAAATGAATTCTGTCAAGACTCCAAGTAATAACTGTGTGGTGACATTTCAGCGGCAAAAAGGATGGCCTCGAAAGGCCATGCCAATCCAATCCTGACTAATGACGGCTACAGCCAGCCTCTTAATTGATGCTTGGGACACAGTGGAGATTTTATATGGTTTTACAACCAAACATCACACATCTAGCAATGCAAGAGACCTTCCTTAGAAAACATAGCTTTTAATGTACCTTCAGTTACTGTGACCAGAAGAAGCTGTAAGTCTACATTAGAGAACAAAAATACATTCTATATGATCTTACTTTCTTAAGTAGAAGAGAGAGCATGAGGAAGGATTGACTTCATCCAAGGGTGCCAATTTTAAAAACAGGGAAGAGAGCCACTTTTAATGAGCTTAGGAAAATGGAACTGCTGTAAGCTGCCCCCTTTATTATTATTTTTCAGTTGATACGAGGATGAAAAAATAAACATTTTCTCGCTGGAGAGGGTGGCTCACATAGTGAGCTCTGTATGTGCTGTCTTACATCATCTCTGGGTCTCAGCAGGTGCCTGAATCCTTCATACGACTTTCCAATTTGCCATGTATTTCACAAGGAATCTAAAATTTTTATTTTTTCTGAAGTTCATCTATCTGTAGGGGATAAGATTTTTGAGAATGAAGAGTTCTTCCAAATATCTATGTACCCAACATTAAGGAAGCTGGTTTTAGTGATGGTTGGTGCTTGTACCATAAGGTTTATTAAATATTTTAAATATCACCTGTGGTTAAAAAGTTTATAATCTTTATATAATAGTCGATATGATATAGTAGGTACTTGGTAATTGGTAGCTAACAATATTATATTTTGGAAAAACAATGAACTTGGATTATGGAAAAAAAACTTAGAATGGGTGTGAGAGGGGATCATGGAGAATCAACTGTCAAGCTTGTATTTAACACATGAACTTGTCTATTTCACATCTCCAATCTATAGCACAACATCAAATACCCTTGTCAAAATCATGGGCATTATGAACAGTAAGCCTTACATCGAATAGTCTGGGTCATGGAATCAATGTGTTTTAAAAGCACAGGTGAAGATGAAGTCTGGGCTGCTATTCAAAATAAAAATTTGATGAGAACTTTTCAGAATTGAAGTAATTTATAAATCAATATCTGAACCTAACCAACATCTCCTTAACTCCCTGGTATCATCCATATGCATATATATATTAATATATATATTTATTGATTTCAGAGAGAGTACCATTGATCAGCTGCCTCCTTCACACCCCTTACTGGGGATTGAGCCCACAATCTGAGCATGTGCCCTGACTGGGAATCGAACCTTGACCTCCTGGATGCTCAACCACTGAACCACACCAACCAGGCTCCATACAATTTTAAAATCAATTATCTTCTTAATTAAACCGTAGTAAAAAATCCAACTGTGTCTTTCCCTTCCTCCGTTAAGGCTAAGGTGGGTGGACAGATCCTATTCTGACACCAGGTGAAAATGCCCCATTGGCATTGGGTTACTGCGATCTCGCGTGATTCTGACAGTGACAGTTCAGGAGCAGGGAGTCAGCACTCCCCAGTCTAAGTCCGGCCAGAGGCACTTCCAGGAGGAACTCAGTCTGCAGGACGCATTTCTTGTTTCTCCTCCAGGACTTGGTCCAGTCTATGTCTTTCAATGGAAAATAAAATTATGTTTCTTGAGTCATTCTTCATTTGTATTTTTCATCACTACCTTGCCCTATTATTTATTTTTCTACTAATTAATAAACTGTAGATTTGACAGATGACCTACTCTTTTTCCCAGCAAAATGACCTAAAATACCAACAGCAAGAAACACCACTTTCATTTCTCTAGTTATTTCATCCAGGCTATGTAATGTTGGGAAACAGGGAGATTGGCTGCCTTCTTTGAACAGATTCTATAAAGGCTGTAGTAAACGGCACCCCGATTAAAAGTCTTGGGAGACATTTTAACTGCATTTCATAAGTAAGTGTTTCACTCCCCATCGGCATTTTGAATTACATTTTCCCTGGTATTAGTTTATGCTTTCACAGGTGTAACACAATCCAATTCCACATGGTGCATATAGAGCTCATCCCAGTTTGCATGAGGTATGGTTTCATTGGCCTTAACCAACCTACACAGCTAATATTGTAAGAAATCAATATGTAGACGCAACCAACGAAATTATTATCGTTCTGTTTATCACCTGCAGGTTGGTCTCTAATTGAAGGCACATCTCTAGCAGTCGCAGGTAGAGCACCACATTAATACTAGTAGTTTTGATTATTTGCAATTTCTACAACCTACCTACCACGAATGGGAGAGTATCAGAAAGAATCAAGGCACCCTTCCTTTTTAAAGAAGGTAGAGAAGATCAGCTCTCTGGATATCTTTCTTTTCAAAAATAAAAGAGAATAGAGTTTCGCTGTCAAAGGAACAAAGGTTATTTGAACCTGTCAGGTATGGAGGTGATTTAGCACAAGTGAAGCATGGATGGGAAGGGAGAAATGGGATCATGAGATGAGCATGGCTGTGGCAGGGGTGGCTGGCGGTGGGTGGAGGGAGGTGGTGCTCACCACTGCCCCCTCTGGCTCCTCAGCCTGGGTGTCCTCAGCAGGTGCAGCGGCAAGGGGCTCCTCTGCTTTCGGCTCTGCTGGTGGAGCCTGTTCAGACTCAGCCTTTCATTGTTTGTTTTGAGAGTTAGAGGAAAAAGACGCAACATATGAATAGATAGCAGTACAGAATATCGGACAATTAAGATTTTTATCATCCCACAGGCAGCTAGCTTCACCAAATCTGTGCTGGGAAAAAGCCCTACACTTGGCATCATGGGCCTTTACAGAATTGGAAAGTCTAGGAATGAACGCTACCAACTTCTCTCCCTCTCTCTCTCTCTCTCTCTCTCTCTCTCTCTCTCTCTTCTCTTTTTTTGTGTGTGTGTGCCATTATCGAGGACTGTCATTTCCCTTGAAGTTAGGACAAGACTTACCATTTTGGCTATTCATTTTACTTACAATATTTAGGCTACTCACTTCCTATGGCATCTGTAAGAGATGCTAAAATGGCACCTTGAGTCCCCATTGCCAGCTGGAAGACGTGAGAAAGAGCTCACAGGGGACACACAGTTCTGGGAACGCCCAGCTCTACCGCTTTGCATTACACCAGAAAATGGAGGGGTCATCCCAACATGTAGATCAAAATGCATTAATTTGCACAGGATAGTAATCTCCGTGGTATCCATTAGACCTTTCTAATTGTGTGGAAAACAGGGAGGTTTTCATCCCTGTTGCATAGACATCATCCTGATTCCAGCTCCTACAGTCTCTCAGGTCTAGACTGTTTTGGTTTTAAAATTAACAATATTAAATAATAATGGGCCGTTAAAAACACCACAGCCAGTGCATGTTACTATGGCTACTGAAATTGTTCTCATTTTCAATTCTGATTAATATAAATAAGCATATTTATTTAGCAGGACTTTTTTTTTATTGCATGGGTGGCCATTTGAGGGCACATTAAGATTTTTTCCATCAGAACATTTAAACTGTAAGAGTTTTCAAGTGTTTTTTAGAGGACCAAGAAGTCACCAGTAAATACTCTGAGTGGAGAAATCAGTAACTCTGTCAGATACTCACCATAAGCAATCAAAAGCCACCTTTAGCTCTATGCCCCCACCTAAGCTCATCATGACAAGTTCCATGGGGAAGTGATGGGGAAGTTATGCTGAGATTAGAGGAAATGAATAATGAATAGCTTAGTGTTAGATAAACAAAGTATTTGTCTTGTGGCCCCCACCAAATCCTCCACTGCAATGCACGCCATGATCACAATGCCTTTCTCTTTAAAGGGCAGAATAAAAGGAAGGACACATTGGTAGATAAGTGTGCAGAAATTTGATATTTTATGTGCTTTTATAACCTTTAAGAGGTATTCTAATACAATTTTTAAGAGAGAATAAAATAAAATTCAACTAATATACTCTCAGAAGTTCTTTATGGGAAAAGATTTCTCTCAAAAGAATGACCTTCATAACGGAACAAGTTTTTATAGCAGCAGATACTGTAAGTCAAGATGATTTTCTTTGAGAGCATGCTATCAAATGACCTACACACGAAGGACAGGCAGGGCGACCTGACAAACCAGGAAGCGTTCTACCTGCAGGTGGGCTGTCCCTCTGGGAGCTGATTCTATGAGATGAAGAAGTCTGAAGCCCAGTGCGGAGCCAAGAGAAGTTTCAAAGGATGAGTTAAATACATACCATTGTGCCTTAAAAATAAAAGTTAAGATAGCTTAAAATGAATAAACGATTTGCATCAGAGCCTGGGTTTCTTGGAAGTCTGAAGTAGCTTTATGTGAGGCAAGATAAGTAGGGTGAGTTTATAAATGAGTCGAATTGCATTTGGTTGCTGAAATCAAACAACGCAACAGAGGCATAGCATGAAGAGGACGTCGAACCAAATATGTCCCCACAAGTCACAACATTTCCCCTCTAATATCACACCAGTATTACAACATAGCATTGCAACCTAACACCTAAAATTCAGGGGGGGGGGGTAAGTGAATATAACTCACTGAATGATGAGTAAGGATGGAACAGGATACAACATGACTGTACATAAAATCAGCTACTCAACTTTGGAAACACAAGTCGCCCTTCTATTCCTTCTAAGGTAATGTAAAATTGTAAATATTCTGTCAAGATAGAAAGGAAAACCCAGGCAAAGTGGGAATGATATCTCAGAAAAAGTTCTAAAACAGGCATCAGAATTGTGCCCTCGTTCAACCCCTTTCTCCTATAGGCTGAATCCCTTGACAGACATTGCAAATGGGCGGAATCCTTGCCCTCCCCAGTTAGGAGCACTGGTAATGATTTCCTATCATTTGCTCAATTAGCCATCATCATACATTAGAGGAGAGGATACTCTTCGCATTTATTAAGGCAGCAGGATGCCGCAATGGTTTAATTCAGAGTCTCAGAAATGGAAATATTCCTTTAGAACAAATCTAGTAGTGTAAACTTGGCCCACACTTTCTGATCTCCTCTGTGAGAAGACGGAAGGTGAGTCAATGCAGAGGAAGAGGGATGGATCAAAGATGGGGCTAAGAGTCTAATCACATTCCAATATGTCATTTGCCTTCTAGTCTTACTTCTCCAATCTTGGGAGAACTGATGTTGTGAGAACTGCAAAGGACCAAGGGGGTAATTCTGAGCCCCGGGCAAGGTGGGCAGATTCCAAGGGTTTAAACCAGCTCTCAAACAATGTGCTGTGGGCTGTGCAATGCAGTCTGGGAAGGTGAGCCACTGACTACCAACTTCAACCTCCACCTCGCTCAGAACAGCCAGTGATCAAATGCTGGGAAACTGCCCTGCTCCTGGGAACATCCTGTATAATCACATCTCACCAGGAGATGTAGGTTCACTGTGCTTTCCTAGTTCCCCACAGGGAAAGCCATGCCTGTAGCACATGCAACGCTCGACATGATAAGCTGGGTTCCCCTTGGAAGGAAGGTGCAAGATACCTGCTTCAGAGACTACATCTCAAAAGAAGGGAAGGGCAGGCAAGAAGTTCCTTGAACCAGCTGTCGGCAGTAGGAAGATGCTCAGAGAAACTTTAAAAACACTGAGTTCTATAACTGGACTTTTTTAAAATTAAAAAATATTTTTATTGATTTCAGAGAGGAAGGGAGAGGGAGAGATAGAAACATCAATGATGAGAGAGAATCATTGATTGGCTGCCTCCTGCATGCCCCCTACTGGGGATCAAGCCCACAGGCGTGTGCCCTGACTGGGAATCAAACCGTGATCTCCTGGTTCATAGATTGAAGCTCAACCAGTGAGCTACACCGGCTGGGCATCAAAGTAATAGGTGTAAGTTTATGATGCATTGTCTTTCCTTTATACCAGTATTTCCCCATTTTTCTTAACCCATTCACAACTGACAGTGAAAAATCTCACCCTCCAGTATCAGTATCATCACCCAGGCTGAGAACCACCAATAAACATAAAACATGAGTCTTTCTGGTGCCATTATCAACACCAATGTAATTTGTATTTTAAACATTTCAATCTTTATTTGAAAGCCACACAGACTCTACCTTTCATTTGGTTACTCAAAAGGCAGAAGTATGACAATCCATGACAAGCTATTAGAGACACACTTGCCTTTGAAAACATATCAAATGAACTGTTAAGACAAACTTCTCAGAATAGAATTCCTTAGAAGTATAATCATCTAAAACCAAAAATTCATTCTATTTAAATCCAATTCCAAGCTCCCAGTGTAAAAGCCAGGAGCTGGGATAATTATACACTTTTTCCATGGAAAGCCAGTGAGCTACAAATAGCCCTAATCCTCAAAGATTCAAAATCCTCTGTAGTGTATCAATGACAAACTGACAAGTGATATAACTCAAATTTCATCATTTAACTTAATTACTGAGCTAGAAATGCTAACTGCAACATCCATCATGTAGGATTTCCTCAAAGATCAAGAGTAACTCTGCTTCCTACTCACTCTCTAGCTAATCTTTTCTTTCATCTCATCTCTCGTCAAAGTAGGAATCACGTCTCTACAATGCATTACTCCGACAATTAGCAAAAAGACTGGAGATCAGAAATGAGGTAGCTTCAGGTTCAAGAAAAAGCAACGATCTATTGTGAAACATGAATTCCTGAGGTGATTTCATTTTCAATCCTGTAGCTTAAGTTATATTCACGCGGAAACATCCATGTCCTTGATGGATTGATGGGTCCCACTGAAGCCCATAATTAGGAGACCGGATTTGTGCAATCTCTGTGCCTTTATAAATAGAAGCAGCCACATTCAAAGTCACACTGAGATTTTTCAGAAGCTTTCCTTCCTATTTTCTAGAAAAGAGGGGCTGTAGAAACTACATTCTGAATATTCAAGCTCCAGATAACTTAGATTTATCAACCTTAGAACATTCGGTAGTAACTATCAACTTCCCCAAAACACAAACCAAAATCAACTTACCAAGTTGCAGATTATATTCTGGTCTGTCTGCATTGTAAATAAGGAAGTGTCCTGGGGCTGAAAATCAAGGAGAAAATAAAAGATTAAAAGTATTAAGGTTCTAGCTAATTTGCTATAAAACAACGAAGATATCATTTAAATTAGTTCTCATCAACTGTGTCAATAAGCACACTATAAAGTTTTAAAAAGTCTCTTTGTATTATAGTCAGAAAAGCAAAAAAATGAAAAGAGTAATTTTAACAGTAGTTATTCTAAATATAAATATGAGCTAGCAGAATATGAGGCTATAACGAGAGACATTAAATAAAGGGCAGTGTCCTCAGGGGTGGGTGTCTTTGGTCTCCAGCTTGTCCTCTGGACATCTATACCGACTTAGAATTTAGTGGCTGTAAACCACAAATTTAAACTTTTCAAATGTTGGAAACTCAATCTTATTATCATACCTAAGTGTGACTTCTACAGGTTAATGATGAGCCATAACTTAAAAAACTTCAAGACTTTGGCACTAATAGCATTTATATCTGAACTATAATATTGCCACAGATTGTCCGGATGGCTATGGTGGAACAATATCAGAGGAAGGGCATGAAGCAGAGGGGAGGGGAGGACTGTGGAGGTCGGAGGATGAAAATGTTTTTATGTCCTTACCTTCCAGAGAAATGAGTCAATAGATAATGCTTTAGAAATCAAAGAGTAAATTATAAGAAAGTCATGCATCCATATGGGGGGAGGAGGGGATGGGGGGTGTAAAACCAGAGAATCTGTTAAAAAAAATGTGGTGAAATATTTACCTCTAAGAAGCAGGAAATGGAGAGGGAATATGATGATCAGAAGTTTTTAAAGAAAAAACTCTTATAGCCCCACCTGTGTGGCTCAGTGGTTGAGGGTTGACCTATATGACCTGGGAGATCAAAGTTTGATTCCTGGTCAGGGCACATGCCCAGGCTGTGGGCTTGATCCCCAGTAGGGGGCGTGCAGGAGGCAGTCGAGCAATGATTCTCTCTCATCATTGATGTTTCTATCTCTCTATACCTCTCCCTTCCACTCTGAAATCAATAAAAATATTTTAAAAGGAAAAAATAACCCTTATAAAATTTTGTACTCTTTAACTGATAAAAATAAAAAATTTTAAATGAGAAATGAATAATTCTTATGACTCAAACTTTCTTTTTTTTTTTTTAAAAAAAATATATTTTATTGATTTTTTACAGAGAGGAAGGGAGAGAGATAGAGAGAGAGAAACATCGATGAGAGAGAAACATCGACCAGCTGCCTCCTGCACGCTCCCTACTGGGGATGTGCCCGCAACCCAGGTACATGCCCTTGACCGGAATCGAACCCGGGACCCTTCAGTCCGCAGGCCGACGCTCTATCCACTGAGCCAAACCGGCTTCGGCATAAACTTTCAAGAGTTGTATGCAGATGGAAGCGATGCACAATCCTTTATGTTTGTCTGTATCTGTATTTGGGTGTGGGTGTGTGTGAGTGGGTTTTATCTTTTTATAGGTAACATGGGGGAAAGTAATCAAACTTTTGAATGAAGAAATTCTAAATGTTAAAATTTGAAATTTTTCATGTCTAATATTCTGAGACAAAGCATTAATCACAGACAAGCTTCTGTTTGAAGTCTCCCTTCAAGGTTTCCAGACCTTAATCCATGAGCGCCATAGCCACGTGGTCTGCCTGTTATGTGGGTTACAGCTGTGCATCTGGCAGGACATATACAGTGAATGGGACTGTCCGTCTTGTGGCTCCTCTCCCATGAATTTGCAAGGAAAATACTGCCTGAGAGAGCCAACCTATGATATCTGACCTTCCACTTGCTCCTTTCTGGAGAACCATTGAAGAGGGATGGTTCTGTGTAGTATGTCTCATATGAATCTTTATAAAAAGGCTCCTAAAATGTATCATAGTTTCTAAAAACCAATTTCATCAGTTCAAAAGGATCCCATCTCCTCTTTTCAAACAGTTGAATCTAGTGGATCTCTCAGATCAGGCCAACTTTGAGTTTCTAGTAGAGGAATCAGTAGAAGGCAGGAGCCCACAGTATAGCTAATCATATTAATAATAGCTAACTACAGTCATAGAAGACTGAATATGTGCTAGGCTGCTGGACATATTCCATTTAATAGTCAAAACACCTGTACAATGTTGAAAATACTACTGTTTCCATTACTGAATTTGTAAGTAGTGGAATTTTGTGCTGACACAATCATTATGCCATACCAGTGACACTAAGGTCCTTGTTTTAAAAATTTGCATTATTCTCAACAGATGGATTTTGCCAGCAAGTTGATTACTTACCTGGGTGAATCCATTAAATGAACCATCAGAAGCCTAAACAAAAATAGAAATCAGAGTACATTATTTTTTCATCAATTTTGTAGGATCAGTGAATGCCCATTAGATAAGTTGGAAAATAATGACCACCATAATTTTTAAAATAATATAAGAGGTGTAAGTGCTTAGGAAATGTAAAAGGTTGAACTGTATTATTTTAAATAGGCTGACCAAAAAAAAGAAAGCTATTTTTGCAATTAAGGCTGGTGTATGGCTCAGTGCTAACAAAAACCCACTTGCTTAATAATGAGAAGATTATTCTGGAGAAGAGCCATAAGGGATTAAATAGCTCTTTTTTTCCAGGATAATGATAGAATCTAGAAGAAGCATTTTTAGTATTTTTCTAACACATCATTTTGTTAGATTTTTTTTATGACACCTGTCACTAGATTCTACAGTTTTAGGCTTGAATAGAAACATTTCATGTGTACTTATTGGGGTAACCACTTAGAAACAGTAAATTAGTATGTTCTACATATTTTTCATAATTGAACAGTAAAAATAAAAAATAAACAGAGTACACGGATAAATAGACTTTCATTAATTCCAACATAATCATTGTTTTTCTTGTTCTTTCTTTTTTTAAAATAAATTTTTATTGATTTCAGAGAGGAAGGGAGAAGGAGAGAGAGATAGAAATATCAATGATGAGAGGAATCATTTATTTGGCTGCCTCCTGCATGCCCCCTACTGGGGATCGAGTCCACAACCCGGGTAATTGCCCTTGACAGGAATCAAACCTGGGACCATTCAGTCTACAGGCCAATGCTCTATTCATTGAGCCAAACCAGCTAGGGCGCTTTCTTTCTTTCTTTGGTCAACCTATTTGTGTTTGGTTTGCACAGATTTCAGGAGGTAAGAGGTACATGAATGACAGTCTGTCAGGGAGATAGGCAGGCCTCAGAGAAGACAGTGATGGACAATGAAGTGGGCAGGAAACATTAGGAAAAATAGAACCTACAGAAGTCTTTGTCTAGTCTATACTACATACTGGGTAAGTACCTCTTCTTTATCAGCCCCAATTTCTTGGTACAACAATCCATATCTCTGATTAGCAATTTCATCTTCAGATAAATCTGAGTTGTTGTTGCCATCATCTTGGGGACTAGTAGAACTCTCGGTGCTAACATTCTGGGAGGTTCCCAGAAACAAAAGTCTAACTGTCTCTTGGCTTTGTTCCCAGCAGCTATCAATGGCTTGTTCCTCACATACATCTGCCAGTAAGTCCACTTGCAGCCCTTTCTTGCTCTCAACTATATCTAAATGTTCCCAGAATTTATCTAAGCCTCCCATATCACGGATAAGCCAGTGGTTAATAGAATCAAGACAACTGCCAAATCCACTTGCTTGTCCATCTGGTCTACCAGAGAATTCCAATATATCCGTATTATTCATTGCTGAATCCAAAGTTGGCTGCAAGATTTGACCTGGATCTGTTCCCCAAGAGTCTGTTTTCGTGATTCGTGGCAAGTTAATGGTATGACTACAGTTCCCAGTCACTGTACTTGCAGACCCCTCTATTAATGAATCTTCTGCCTTACACAAACACCAGTCTCTTCTGTTTGCATTCATCTCCAGAGCATAATTAAGATCTGTCCTAGACCGAGCTGCCAATTCATGTTTCATTGATAAATAAGCAGCCTGATTTCCATCCCTATCATCTTCAGGTGCATGTAACACAGGCTCACACTGAATCTCTTCAGCATCTGTACCCCCCTGTGCTGAATGATATATCGTAGCATGGTTAGGAGGGTCTACTAAATTTTTCTTTATAGCTTTTCTAGATAAATCCCATCCCTCAGGGCTGGCATCTTCAATATTAGGCTCAGAGTCTGTCTGGAGAGGCAGATTCAAACAATCTGTGTGATTGCCAGGCTTGCCTCCTGAGCCTTCTATAATTTCACAATTACTTGTTATTACTTGAATCCTCTCATCTAGCACTTTGTCAGTAAATTCCTCTGCCATGTCTTTTTCTGATATGTCAACTTTCTTAAAATACCTTTCATTGGTCTTTACAATTTCCTTACACATAACTCTTAGATCTTTCCTAGTTTCCTCTTCACTGATTTTTAAGGTCTCCTGGTCTCGCTTTCCTATTGTCTTAAGAAGATCAACCATCCCGCTTCCTGTACTTTCACACGCTTTCTCTTCACATCCCTCTGTACCTTCTAGTGTCTTGATAGCAATAGCTCCAACGTCTACCTTTCCACATGTCTCCACACCTGCCCACACAGAATCTTCTGTCTTCTGTTTCTCTTCCTCTTCTTCTGACTTTTTAAGATCTTCTTGACTTTCGTTGATGAGGCCACCAGTTTCCATGGCTGGCATCTCTGAGTCAGGTAAGTCATAAGGCTGCTCCGTCTCCATGCAAGCAACAATGGCACATTCAGCCTCAGGCATGGGCTTTGGGGACAGTTGTCCATCTCCACACGGAGGGGCTGGCCCTGGGACATGCTCCCCCTGTTGGGCTACAGTGTGCCCGTCAGCAGAAGGAAACATCCCGGTGGGTAATCCCATGTCTTGCTCTGCTTCAGAGAGACATGCAGAGTCCTCCTGGGACCCACCGGAGGTAGTTTTCTGGCTGACTCTCTCTGTACTAGCATCAGGGCCCCAAATAAACGCGCCTAGGTCAACCTGAGATCTTTGAATTTCTTCGGCCAACCCACTCTCTGGAGTTTCCTCCATGACCAGGTTACACAAGGAAAGACTTTTTGAAGAGTCAGTCTTTAGAGTATGCAGAACAGCAAAGGAAAAAAAAAAACACAAGATGAAATAGATCATGGTAAGAGTTGATGAGAAACACAAAGTTCTTTAGTAGGGTAGCACCAGTTAAACAAAACTAGAGAGTATTAAATTAAATAAGTGGCTTAACGTTACATCTGTGACTAGCAATGCCACAAGGAAAAAAAAAAGCTTATTGTAGGTAATATACCATGTATATAATGCAGATTAAATTTTTTAAAATCCAGAATTTTCTGGATATTTACCTACCGGCTGGACCAAATCAGCGCTTGTCTGTATAAGTAAAAAAAAAAAAAAGTAATAATAAAAATCGTAAGACAAGAGAAAAAAACTGCTCATACATTAAAATCCCATGCTCTCCAGAGTCAATGTTCTGCTAACAGCTGTGGCTTTCACTGGTTTGAGATGAAATTTTATAGGAATGAGTTCGGTCCCAATACTGTCGAGATTACCAGTAAACCACTGAAACATACAGAAAGCCCCTGCCATTTTCTAGTATCAGCAACGTTTTATGGCTATTCCATGACCGTTGCTCTAGCAGACTCTGAAATACAAAGTTTCACATAAATCAGCATGAGAACAGCAGCAAGCTCTAGCAACCACGAAATTACCCAGCACCACCTGCTCTGACACAATATCAGGGTAAAGTCTTCCCCAACCAGCCTGCACTTGGTTCTGCCTTTGAGGTGGTTTTTGGATGGAGGATGATCTGATACTAGCTACTCTGACTGCCTGGAGGGTTCTCCTCAGGTTCTCCCCCCATCCTATGAGCTTTGTCTGGATACAAAGAAACAACACTGGGGAGTGGAGAGGATCAAGAAATGGAGTAATTATGTCCAGGGAGCTATTATTTCGCAATCTTGTCACTTCTACCATTTCTAGCAGGTTTGCCCTCCAAAATAGTCAATATTCATTATAGATGATACTTTCCCCCTCACCATATCCTTTCCAGACAGGGAAAGAAAAATATGATATAGCTCCAACTAAAGATATACTGGAATAACAAAAAAGTAGCATTTTCCTCTTACTCTCCATGAAAATTAACACAAAGTTGAGACTAGAATTCAAATGTCCTGAATACCAATCCATGCATCCCTTTTTGCGAATATACAAGTCAAACATTGTATAGCTCTTGTCTTAAGAGCTTCCCCTGATGCTTTAAGGATCCTACATAGACTATAACCCTGTTCCTGCAGCAGGGACTGGGATAGCCAGGGTTTTGTTTTTAGGGAAGAAAGTAGCAATGCCACTTTGGAAGCCCACAGACTCATGAAGAGCTAGATCTTCCAAACTTTCCTGTTGCTGTTTCACTTAGAAAAAAAAAAAAAAAAAGAAAGAAA